TTCTATTCTATTCTATTCCATTATATTCTATTCTATTCTATTCTATTCTATTCTATTCTATTCTATTCTATTCTATTCTATTCCATTCCATTCCATTCCATTCCATAATATTCTATTCCATTCCATTCCATTCCATTATTCTATTCTATTCTATTCTATTCTATTCTATTCTATTCTATTCTATTCCATTCTATTCTATTCCATTCTATTCCATGCCATTCCATTCCATTCCACTCCACTCCACTCCACTCCACTCCACTCCACTCTACTCCACTCCACTCCACTCCACTCCACTCCACTCTACTCTACTCTACTCTACTCTACTCTACTCTACTCTACTCTACTCTACTCTACTCTACTCTACTCTACTCTGGGAGACAGGATAGCTCTCTTCCAGTACTTGAAGGGCTGTCACAAAGGAGAAGGGATTAACTTAATTTTCCAAAGCACCTGAGGGGCAGGACAAGAAGCAAGGAATGAACGTTCATTTAAGAGAGAAGCAACGTGGAACTAAGGAGAAATTTCCTGACAGAGAGAACAATTAATCAATGGAACAGCTTGCCTCCCAGAATTGTGAGCGCTCCATCACTGGAGATTTTCAAGAAAAGATTGAACAACGATTTGTGCAAGATGTTTTGGGCAGAGTTTTAGACTAGAAGATCTCTGTGGTTCCCTTCCAGCTCTATAATTCTAGGACTTAGTGATGATATATTGTTCCTAAGCATCCTTACACTATTTGGGAGGGATGCCGGTGGCAACAATTTATTCCTGGTCCAGATTTCTTTACAAAAAAAAAAATCTGAAGTTTATTATCCATACAATATGCTGCTAGGATAAATATTTCTCTTCTGCTCTGGATGCGAACAATCAGAAATGCCAACTGGGGGGTGGGAGGAGTATAGAAATAGAGTTACTAGTATTGACCTAAGGGGAAGTAGGATATATTAAAATAATAATAGATTAGTTATATGTATAACTGAGTTAATTATATTGAAATAATTTGAATTGTACAAATATGATTTTGTTTTGATTAATTGATGGCCTTGCCACCATGTAAAATAAAACCAATAAAAAATTTTGTTNAAACCGCTTAGAGAGGGCTGTAAAGCACTGCGAAGCGGTATATAAGTCTAAGTATTAGTGCTATTAATTGTCCTTGTTTTCAAACGCCACGATAATCATCTGCCATTCTTTTCGGTGGCACTTAAATTCATCTGATCCTGTCTGGGTGGATCCCAACGGTTAACTTACGTTCTCATTTGAAGAGTTGGCATAAGTATTCAAATAGATTTCACATGCAAAGCTCAGTAAATTTCATTAGAAACGAGAACAGCATCTAATTGGAATGTAACCTTTCTGGATTATAATCCACCGTTTCCGATTCGTGCATCCAACAAAGTCAACTGTAGTCCATGCCTTTTTATACTATAACAAACATGATCGCATTTTATAATAAAACTATAAAAAAAACGTACTACAACAACATACTATAAAAAACTAAAATGAGTTAAGGTGCTCCAAGATTCTTCATGGTTTTTAACTAAAAAAAAAAAAAAGACGAATGCAACTACAAACTATTTAGACACAGTTCACAATAAAGAAAAGTGACAGTGGCAACGAATAACTCGTCATCTATAAAAATATAATCTCTATTATTTACACAGAAAAGCACAGTCACGGAGAGACATTTTTCTGGCTTTGGAAAGAGCAGCAAGGCAATTTAGTTTCCACTGGCTTTGAAGCAAACTGTTAAATCACATTTACATGCAGAATTTCCCCCCCCCCCCAAAAAAAAGTCAAGGCAGAGTGGATTAAGGCTTTCCCTCACTTCATCCCAAGAACAACCCTGCAAAGTAGACTGAACTAAGAGACTGGGGGGAAAAACCCATTTATCAATATGTTTCTGGAATGTGCATTAAAATGGGTGGGCAATTAAGACTTCGTTATCTGAAATTTTGCCAGGTGCTTGACCAGATAACAATGCCAGAGCACCGGAATTCCTTCAAAGGCACCGTGTCAAAATGAGCTTAAACCCAAATTTGGGAAAAATGCATGAGGCCGAAGCATTATTTGGTCCAAAACATGGAAAGAAGTCTTTTGTGTATACCGTGGGTCTCCGAACTTGGCGACTTTTAAGACTTGTGGACTTCAACTCCCAGAATTCTGAGCCGTTCGCCATGGCTGGCTGGGAGATTCTGGGAGTTGAAGTCCTCAGCTCTTAAAATGGCCGCCTTTGGAGAACGTTTGGCCGTATGCCATCGTGAATTTGGTCGGGAAAATATGCCTGCGTACTTCGGAAGAGGAATGCTCGCAAGAGAGAAAAAAAATGAACAAGACTCTTCTTAAATTGCGCTCAAATTCTGGAGGAAAGCGCCAACATCGGACGAAGGGATTCGGGAGAAGGGGGAAAGGATTCACGGCAAGAAAATCTTGGGCCTCATCATCATTTTGACCTTCCTGAAAGCTTTCCGGTAACCGTTCATGTTATCGTCAGAAGCTCCGGGCCACGTGGCCCAAAAAATGCCGTTGCGGACCCCTTTGTATTTCTTGTTATAATATTTGCCGTTGAGATTGGCGGCCATGCAGGCGTCAAACCACCAGCCAGAGCTATAATAGGCGCCGCAGCTGCCGGAGGTGTACTGATCATTGTCCCTGTCCGCGGTGCTGAAGAACTTTTGATCGTGGTTGTAGCGCTTGCTAAAGTTCAAGGCGTCTCCGGCGGTGCCGCTGTAGCTGCCGATGGTTAACCGGTATTTGAGAAACTCGTTGGCGACGTAGAACTGGTCGTATCTGGCATATTGTCGGACGCCGCTGAGATCTTCCAGCTCGATCCTCAGCTGCATCTCCTTGCTCTTGGTCAGGAGATGAATTTTGTCGTTCCCTAGCCAGAACTCCTTACCGTTTCCAAAGCCGTTCTTGTACTCCTCCCAGGTCCGGTTGAAGGAAACGCTGCCGTCCTGGCGCATCTGGAAGACCGTCCAGCCACCGCCAAAGGACTCCATGTCGCAATAAGCGTCAAAGCTACGGTTTCTGGGATCCGGGGTGATTTTGTAGACGCCGTTCTGCCGCTTTCCGGCAGCAAAATAATTGGAACAGTCTCCTTGAAGTAGCTGGATGCCTGGATAAGATAAGATAAGATAAGATAACCTTTATTGTCTTTTTTTTTTTTTACTGCGGGCACAACGGCACACATCAAAACTGAAATTTAGTTGCCCACCCTCAAAGTGAAACACATACGTGACACACACCGAAACATACTATGTAGATGGACGTTATCGTAATGGACCAGGCTATTTTTTACTTATCTAGCGTAGAAGAAAGGAACATAATTGTATTTCCCAAAAACAGAAGCTTTTTTATTTGTGTTAGAATATGTGTATAGAATAAATTATTCAGGGCAATCAAGGACTTCCTTCCTTCCTTCCTTCCTTCCTTCCTTCCTGTTCTCATATTCTTCCTTCCTTCTTTTCTCTTTCATATTCCTTACTTTTCCTTCCTTCCTTTTCTCACCTTCCTTCCTTCCTTCCTGCCTGCCTGCCTGCTTGCTTGCCTGCCTCCTTCCTTCCTTCCTTCCTTCCTTCCTTCCTTCTTTCCTTCCTTCCCTC